CATTTTTGGATAGACGCGGTGGCTGCTGGACTTAGTGTCACTTACTAGCTATTGTAATAGATACTCTACGGAGTAATTTAGTCCTGGAAGAAACAAAAATACCGTAAGCCTCTGTATTTCCATTTTATATTAATATAGAGACGTTTTCTCCTAGAAATTTTGACCTTTTGATTTGGCTGGGACCTGGATCTAGGAGTAACGTACAGGAGTGTTTCTATTGGAAGCAATTAGGACAGCCACCGGCGAAATAATTCTACAGTCTGGTATTTATTCTTCTTGCGTGAATTATACTTTGGAAATCTCCATCGGAACATATATAATTTGGATCTATTTGGATTATTAAGAATTACAAGGAAACATTTGGAATTTTAATCGTTTATCATACTAGACTTCCTTGGAGGAAGAAGTTGGAACTACTTATCATTATTTTTGAACTGAATTTTGGAATTACTCTATTTTGTATTGTTACCGTCTTTATTGAACTTTATTTATGATGTCAAACCGAAAAAAATCACACATGAGGACGGTGGAAGAGCTCGACGGATCACAGGGCTCTAGGCAAGTCGTTAGTGATAACTTTTTTATGGGTAACCCACATGTTATGTCTGATATTTATTATTGTAAGTCATCGATAGAGGGTTTAGAATTACCTAAGGTTGAACTTTCATATTTTGATGGAAGGTCTCGCGACTATTTTAAGTTCATACGACAGATAGAGACGTTTATAGAACCTCGAATCAAGGATGATCAAGTGCGTTTATTGTATTTAATTCATTATTGTAAGGGAAAAGCAAAAAATGCGATTGAAGGCTGTATTATTATGGATCCACAATCAGGATATAAGAGAGCTAAGGCCATTCTAAAACAGCTCTTTGGACAGACGCATGTAATAGCGCGAGAAACCTTAGAGGACTTATTTAGAACTGGGAATGTAGAATTTAATGATCCTGAATCATTGACGAACTTGGCCATTAAAATGCAGAATGCTTCTTTAACTTTAGAACAGTTAAATTGTACAGCTGAACTTAACTCTATGGCTACTTTAGAACGAATAGTAAGGCTCTTACCTCGTCGAATGCAAGCCCAGTGGGCAGAGCTAGTATTCAAGTGGGACGAAGAGGAGAGAGAGCCCAATTTTAACGAATTGACGGAATTTATTATGTCTCGTGCTAAGATAGCTAGTAGTAGGTTTGGAAGATTAGCTTATCAGGCTAAAACAGGAAATAATACGGAAGCTACTAGTGGTCTGCGTGCGAGACATTCGGATTCTTCGTTTCTACCTAAAGCACGCTCGGAAGATAAGAGATTTGTCAATTATATCACGAAAGCATACGCTGATGAAGGACGAGTATGTGACCGTAACGATGTAAAGCCTCTTGATGCGTGTCCTAGCAAGAAGCCGGTTGATGTAACAGATAAGATGGCTTTTCTAAGTGTAGAAAAGAAAGAAAAAGGCGAAAAGTGTAGGCATCAAGATGGATCCGAAGTGTGTGATGATAAAAGCCTCTTAGCTGCTCGAAAAGCCTGGAACGGTAATTTGGATTCGAGTAATCAGAGGTTAGTGAGTTCAGCAAATATGAATAAAGCCCAGGCAGGATTGACTGAACGGAATAAAGCTTATTTTCGGAACCCTTCAGTTAGGGTAAATTATATAACTGGACCTAGAGTAGATTCTAGGATAAGTGATGGTGGTACAGTAACGGCTAAGAAGCCTAGGAGACATGATGCTACTATTACTAAGAAGCCTGAACCTCATGCTCTTTCGGATGCTACGACTAGCCATGGAAATAGTAGCCATCAGAACCTTAGTAGTGACAGTGATAATAAGGATATAGAAAGTGTCAGCAGTCCACTTATAGGGACTAGTTTATCAACTTCATCGAATGAGCCTCCTAGTGTTTCGACGCCATCGGACCTCGTCACGAAGGTTAAGTTGATTGAAGATGCACAAGGTTGTGCAACTGTAACTGTTCCTATTACGGTTGACTGTCAGTCGAGTGATGATGAGAAGAAAGTGTTTGATGGTAACAGCCAGTCTACAGTGATATGTGATGATGATGCTATTGTTGAGCATATGTCTTGTGCCGCTGAAACGGATGCTAATGCAGAACCGAATCATTTAGACGTTGATAATAAACTGGATGTCACTGATGTGACAAATGAGTTACCGACGATGATGAATACTGTTCAAACCTCCTCTGCAGCAGGAGATGGAAGGATAAATATTGATCCTACGTCATGCTACTTAAGGTCTTCTGGAGACGATGAAATGTCAAAATTGGAAATCTCACCCTTGCATATTATTTATGGGTCAAAAACTTCTGTTGATAAGTTAGCATCACGGACTTCATGGTATCTGCTGATCGGAGCAAGTGGTGGTGGATTGGCGACTCGTCCCCATGATAGAGAATGTAGTCTTCGAATAGGATATGACCAGTTTTCCGATGTGTTGTTCATGTTCGTATGGGTTAATTGGGTAAGGTTTATACTACCGTTAGGTCATTCCACGATAGATAGGGGAATCATGGGCCTGATGGATAGTATAGGTACCTAGTTAACATGATAGGTCATATCCATGTTGGATGGCGGGTAGGCGTACTGCTGTAAGTCCTACACGTCATTCCGGTGTGGATTAGGGGATAACATGGGAACCCTAAATAAGGTGTCATTAACGCTTGCTGTTTTTGCATGGAGGGATTTTGCGGGCCGGTGTAGAATTCTTTTTGAATGCTTTGTGTTTTGGAAAATCCCTCCATGTTTACATATTTTTGCTATGACCTGATGGACTTTTTCTCTTGACATTTTTGGTATTTTATTTGATTCCAATTTGAGATTTTTACCATTGTATGTTGTTATTCTTTCTATATTTTGTACTTATATTGAAGTTTTTGTGTTTGCTTTTGAACTGTACATATATTGTTTCAATTTGATATAATATGGCTACCGCCACATTTTTGGATAGACGCGGTGGCTGCTGGACTTAGTGTCACTTACTAGCTATTGTAATAGATACTCTACGGAGTAATTTAGTCCTGGAAGAAACAAAAATACCGTAAGCCTCTGTATTTCCATTTTATATTAATAAGAGACGTTTTCTCCTAGAAATTTCGCCCTTTTGATTTCGGCTGGGACCTGGATCTAGGAGTAACGTACAGGAGTGTTTCTATTGGAAGCAATTAGGACAGCCACCGGCGAAATAATTCTACAGAGAGATCCTCATCGAATGATCTGACCTTTCTAAAACGAGTCCTAAATTTCAATGTTGGGATAAAACATGATGGGACGACATGGGATTAGGGAAATGACAAAGAAAGGAAAATGGATTTCATCGGATCACTCCACTGAGAACCGAATCATACTTATCTGTATCAATAAAATATTTAGAAGGATCATGTAAGAGCTGAGGAGCAAAGAGGACCTAATACACTCTGAGATCCTCACTTGCTGGTCATCAAATTGTAACTGAAACTCGAGAAACACTCAACAGCTAGGTGGAAAACATCACCAAACTTCTAAACAGCATTTCTTCGGGATACTGGAACACTCAGTGAATTCAAGATATCCCCCAGCAATAGTCTCCAGGTCTTTCACAATCTACTCAATGGGAAACAGGTTACCATGTTCACCACTCTAAAAGACATTCACGAAGAAAAATTAGGCTTGTTATGCGATTTCGATCACGAGACGCACACTCGCAGACAATGAGTCTCAGTTGATACTCTGGATAAAATTCAAGAAAGTAGAAACAAGAAGGCAGCAATCAACATCACTCGAACAAGAGCAGAGAAAATCAAGACGCAATCTTAATACACAGAAGCAAACAAGCAATTGAAGATGAACAAACGCAAATATATCAACATTGAAGCAGCATCCACGAACCTTTCAAACGATATCGACCTACCAGCAATTGATGCAATAAGTATGTCCCTCAGACAAGTCAGTAGTGGCGAAGCAACCGGAACAGAAATACTCCACATTCTTTTTAACAAGATTCGTTATAAAGAACAAGTACCAATAAACCGGAAAAAAGTATACCCCATCATAGTGCCAAAGAAAGGCGATATCAGCTAGTGTTAGATCGACAGAGGCATCACTTGTCTGTTAATACCAGATAAAGTCTTCAACAAGGGTGTTGCGTAACAGAAAAAAGACTTTGTAGATGCCTTAATTCGGATTAGACAGACTGGATTTAGATCGGATTGATCGTGAACCGGCTAGATTGCGGGATAACGGATCCTTGTGCAACAGTCGACTGATGATCTAGCTGATCTATGCCCCATGCAGCTCTAATTTTCGGAGTAGACAACCACTGTTGCAGTAGCCTCTGCCTCAAAAAGTCTCCACATACTTCAAAAAAATCGCAGTTGACGGACAGTCTTCGGAAGGTGCGAAAATCTCTTTATTTCTGTACAGCATGAATAATGAGCAAGATGCAAATGTGAGCACGCGTATAGCCAACACAAAAACAGCATTTTTATAACGTATGGACATTCCGAACTCAAAACACCTTTTGACAGTAAAGAATGGTAGAATATTCAATATTATGCTATCTGAGGTGGAAAAATGCGAACTACAAAAGCCATAGTCTCGGTTGCTTTCATTGATGGGTATTTAGCTCTGTCTATAAATCCTAACTTTTATATCTCGCATATTATTTCTGATCAAAGATCTAAGACGAATGGATTTTCTAGTTTACCTGAAATGAAGCTCGATCACAACGAAATTACTTTTGAACCTATGCGTTTAAACACTAATGGATAACAATTCACTGACCAGAATTCTCCAACTCTCACCTGACCTTCTCTTTCCAGTTCCAATTTATCGTTGTTCATCCCCTTTATGTTGGTCTCCATATTCGCTTGATGGTCTGTTTTATGATCTTTCTAGTTTCTCTTGTCCTTAAGAATCCCAACTAAACTATTATTTTTACTTGACTAAAACAATACAAAATGGCAGAAACTTAAATTCATTCAATTTTCCACTTTTTTTTAATTGCATAGGTATTCTTCTCGGTACTGATAATGATAACGATGAAAATGCTAAATTTCATTTTCGTTTATTTAGTTCAACATCTTATTTTAAATTAAATAGTTCAACTGGTGAATTGACAATTTTACAATCATTAGATAGAGAAAAACAATCTAATTATGAATTGACAATATTGATTATTGATCATGGTAAACCATCACTTTCATCATCAGCTAAAGTTTATGTAAATGTCACTGATACTAATGATCATGATCCAATAATTGTATTTCCAATAACTGGTAAAGGTAATATAAGCGTGTCATATCATGAACCACCAGGTGAAGTAAGTAAAAGGTGAATTTTAATTATTTTATGAGTTAAAGAAGTATTTTGTTCATGTATACGATATAATCAACTTTAAAGTTAGAATATTCAATGTCGAAATCGAAGTCGGTCTTTTGTGTGGAGTTGCGAACCAGAGAACCACGAAGTCCGTCCCCTGAAGATAAGCCATCATTTGTAATCTTCATGATCAGAGGATAAGTGACAGATCAATAAACACTGAAGACAGACATTAAAAAGTGAAAAGCGTTTGGGAAGAACTGGTAACTCAAGCTGAAGGCGAAGTGGGTTGAAGAATGCTGAACTTTGACGTTCGCTCTATTAGGTGTAATAATAGTTACCACAAGTACTAACTATATGATGTAATAAGAAAAACCAACACATCAGAATTATCAAAAGTTAAAACAGTTTCTGAAACTTTGGAATAAATGTCATTCACTTCTTCAGACAATATATGTAATAAATAAAATTATCTCAAGTTTGGATAGTAAAAAGTGACAAGAAAAAATGTTTATGTCACACTAGGATTGTGGGATTTGTTAAGTTTCCTTAAAATCGTGAAACTGATAGTCATAGATGATAAGTAGAAACCAGGAAGCAGTGAACGACAGTTTTGTTTTTTGTAAAAGACTAATCATCAGTGCAGCCTCATGAATCCGTATATGCAAAACAAACAAATTCTAAACTCTTGGCCATTGAGAGGACAATCATGTATAATGATGTCCAACCTAAGTTAAACCTCAGCCGTCTGATGTTGTCTTTGGTATTTCAGCGTGAGTATTACTGGTACATTTACAGTCTACTGATTTAACAGGTCAATGAACCAACTACAATTTTGTGCATTTTAAATTTTTCTATCTTCGAATTTTTGGCATGCACAAGTACACAGGGGAAATTCACATGCATCATCGTAACTGGAGATGAATAAAAGTACACTGATCGGATCTGTGTTTATAATCGATGCATCATAGTCTTAAACTCCGGATAATTTATTTGCCAAAAGCCACATGATAATTCAGAATTAAAGCATAACACAATACAACCAACTTTATTCGTAAACGCTCGATTGTTGAACATATCGAGATTCTTCCAATATCAATATAACGAGTCACGGAGAGTCAGAAAAAGATTAATTTTTCTATTAGTAAGGATGCTAACTTTATTGCTCACTCTAGTAATCCCCAGAAGAGAGTTATGCGCTCGATCTATATTATCCCACCTACCCATTTGTAGACTTCTATTTCCGGTTCTGTCAAACGTTTTTCATTCTTCTCATATCTGTCCCCATTTCTCAGTGTAATGTGTTTGTTGATTGACGGTTTCAAATGAGGGCTTGTCTTGTGATTCAGTTAGCTGCTTTCCGCAGTGTGTACCAAATACACATCCAGGGCTTCTTTATGAATTCTTCTTTCAACGTAAACGTATTTGTTCTTTCCCAAACTAGGTTGTTACTGATGGCGTCTGACAACGAATTAGAAGTATTTTGCTCATCAAAACTGTTAATAAGTACTTGTATTTTCCTAATGATGATTGTCGTATTTTCACATGTTTTCACGATATGTAGTAGAACTGTCTTGACATTTTTATTGGAAATTTGGACTATCATGTTTGTTGATAGTTGTGTTAAGTACCAGATGTTTATTTGTAGAAATGCTGTCCTTGATTTGCTGATCCGCTCCTGCATATGTGTATCAAATCTAACTTGCTTGTCGGAGGTGATGCCTGGATAGGTTAAGGCTTTGACGTCCTCCAAGGCATCTGTATCTGAAGTTATATCGTAGGCAGATGATGTGTTCTATCGGAAAAACATGCTTTCGCCTTTGTATTTGTTCAGAACTGCTGCTGTGTGCTGCGACACAGGTCGTCTTCTCTTGCATCTGTTGTTGCGTGTGCGATAAAAGTGCCAAATCATCTGCGACATCCAGAAAGTTTAGTTGCACCCTGGCTATTCACTGTATACCGTGTTCCCTTCCAGATGATACCGTCCGCATAATCGATTCAAGCATCAGGGGAAAGAAAAAGGCGAGACTAAGCAACCTTGTCGGTCTTCTCCTCAATCGAGTCCTCCTTGTCTGACAGTTTAACCCATCATGAGAATTCTTTATGATGTTGGTTGATTTCTCAGGTAGGCCGTGGAGTCGATGATGGTTCCATAGTTTGTTCCTATCTACGCTATCAAGTTCTTTCCCCTGGCGAATAAAGTTGATGAAGAGTGGTGTGTTCATTCGAAGTGATTGTTCCAGGATGATGTTCGATGCTGCGATTTGGTAGATGAGCGATTGGCCATTAAGAAATTCAGCATGCTGATCCTGATGCAAAACATCCTTTCTACAGTCTGTAGGTACTCGTTCTTCATCCAAATCTTGTTGAATAGAATGTGGAATATTTCAGCAGTTGCCGCTACGTCTGCTTTCATTGCCTGTGCCGAAATGTTATGGCTATGCAACACATCATAGAAATCTCTTCAGTTGTAGTCGGGCTAAAATTGATTCAGATGTAGTGTGCCGATGCATTTGCGTGTTCTTAAGCTCGGTTTATAAATCAGAATAAGAACTCGTATTGATGAATACGTTTATTCGGGACACCCCACAAAGCGAAGCGAATCGGAGAAGGCTAAGAGCCAACTCGAATAAATAGAGCATGACTAGGAGTATATATTCAGGTAAAAATATGACAGACATAGTCAAGCAAAATAGGTATGCACACACATGAATAAAAGCGACGAATGATTGACAAGGTCAAAAGCAAGCGACACAAATCATGTGAGTTCATGGGGATATTAAGAGATTAACATTAAAGCGAAAAGGATGAGTTAGCGCGTAGGCGTAAGCAATGCTCAGTCGCACAAGCTCATACAAACCAGATAATAAAAAATACCAATGGCACATATGAGTTGTTGCTATACAAATGCCTTGTTTAAATAAATTAATCGAAAGAGCTTGACCAAGTTAGATGCAAGCGAACTGAAATATATGTGGAGGCACTACAAAGAAATCCACGTGTGCTGCATCGATTCAGTGGATTCAGTGAAGCGGATCGATTCAAGAGTTCCTTATAATGCTCTAGACACCTGTTTCGCTGATCTTAGATGTGACTGATAACTTTTATTTCCTCGCTTTTCGCTCTCATATTTCCTTCTCTTACAGACTTGTCACCTGTCATTTTTAGATCTATAAAATATTTCCATTCGTACGCTCATCTTAATTTGCTTGTTCACTGCCATGAAGTTAACATGTCCTTTGACTTTCTTTGCTCATGTTCCGCTGATGTTGATTGCTGCCTTGTTGTTCCTCGTTTCTTGAATTTTATTCGGAGTATGAACTGAGTCTCATTCCCTATGATAGTGAATCTCGTAATCGAAACTGCATAAAAGGCTTCATTTTTTGCTTCATGAATGCTTTTTCTAATTTCATCCATCGTAAGCTTCTCTACTTTGAGTAGATGGTGAAAGACCCGGAGAATATCAATGAGTAATATTTTGAATTGATTGAGTTTTCCACTATCAAGATAAAGGTTTATTTAATGATGTTTTCCAGTCTTAGAAACCTTCTATGATTTCATTTTAATCCATGTCGCTAGCACGTGGATATCTGGAACTCTTTCAGCGTTGCTTGCGCACCACAAGTCTTACATTCAATACATGCAGATTTGGGCAGTTTCGTTCAATCAGTTATGCTTAATTTGCGTGTCCGTTTGAGAGTAAATATTGTGTCGTTGATGACTAGGTCTGAAAATTACTCAAAATCTACGTTCATATCTTCAAGTCCATGTCGGCCCATGATGTCGTCAAAGACGATATTGTGTATCTTAACCTTGCCGCTTAGGTTGTAGTGCGATGGTGGAGAAAATTTGTAGCTCAGGTGGATGATTGTGGTGGTGTTTCGTTCTCTGAGGCGGTTGTTTTGGTTGTGGAGCTTTCATTGTTCTTCTGAACAACATCATAAGCACAAACTTCAGATAGAAGTGAAGCATTAGAATCTCTCCACGTATGACCTGTAGCTTGTTCTGCTAACCTCGATCTTGATTGGTTGATGTTGACCTTTGACCTGTCGTTGTTTGCAACTATGTTTTGATTGCCTCCCTCTTTTGATCTGTTTCTTGATCCAGTGTCGCCTATGATTCTCCTGATTGGTTGATAAATTGGGTCAATGTCGATGTGTTTGTTGATTGCTAATTGACCTGAGTGCCAAGCTTCTAAAAATTCTCTAGTGTTCTTTGTCCTCCCCCTACCCAGTATTTCCACGTTATTCCAATCAAATGTGTGTCCATAGTTGTCGGTATGTATTGAGATAAGCGAAGCGTTGTCGTGGCGTTTGACTGCTAATTGATGTTCACGTAAACGGAGCTGAAGAGGTCGTCCACTTTGTCCTATGTAGTGTTTTTCACAGTTTGAGCAATTTATTTTGTGGATGATATTTGGTTTTTCTCCCTTTGTCATTTTGTCCTTTGGTCTACATAGGATTGACTGAAGTTATTCTGTTGAGTTGTGTGCCACACCTATTCCAAATGGTTTCAGTAGTCGTGCCGTATTTTCCGATATGTCTTTGATGTATGGTAGGATGATGCGTTTATTTGTTCCTGTGCTTGATTTCATTTCTGATGATGGTTTCGGTTGATGTTTTTTGAAGAAGTTGCGTGGATAGCCGTTCTTTTGGAAGATAGTCATCAGGTGTTTTTCCTCGTTTTTAATGTTTCGTATGTGCTGCAGTGTGTCTTCGCTCTCTTGAACATAGTTTGTATGCAGTTAATCTTGTGGGTTCTTGGGTTGTTGCTGTCCTAGTTGAGAATTACGTTGATGTGGGTTGGCTTTCGAAATACTTGAGATTCTAGTTTTCCTGTGTTAGTTCTGGTGATTAGTACATCCAGGAATGATAGGCTGTTGTTTGATTCCTTTTCCGTCGTGAATTTGATGTCATCAAAGACGTTGTTGATCTGATTGTAGATTTTCTCCAGCTCATTCCTTTTGATAATAACGAATGTGTCGTCTACATAGCGAACCCA